CCGGAAGGCAGTTCCATTTGAACATGCCATCGGTTGCATTATCAGACACTCCCCGAAAGTCAAGAAAAGGAACATTGCCCTGCACAAGTGTATTTTCCATTCAAAAGTAAGACCAAGAAGGATAGGCATTGTTTGATTCCCTGTTTCATCAAGAAGGTTAATGCACATAATTAGCTTAGCTTTTCCCTAATTCCTTTTGTTTTCCCGTTCAGTCGTCATCACCTAACTAACCCATCCTTTCTCTACAGAACAAACCAAAACAAAGATTCACCTAATTGCTCTTTCTTTTTCTTTTTCTTTTTTCTTTTTTTGAAGGCAATTACTAGAGCAAGGTCAAGACAGGCTTTGCCTTCTGGTAGGGGAAAGTGGCAGTCTGTGGTTTGTTTTAGCACAGCCTCTTCCATCCACATTTCTCTCTCCCACTCATTAGTTTGTTGTGGTTGGAGCTAGTAATAGCTGTTTTGTGCTAAGGAGAGGCAGGGGAGGAGGGGAGCGTGGAGACAGCGGCTCCCCTGTTTTCTTGAAAAGATGATTTTTCCCTCCTCTCCCTTCTTCCCTTGATTCTCATCAGTTTGTCTAGGCCGCCTCCATTCTGTCAGCTGTTAAAAAGTTAAGCAACAGGGAGTGATTTTCCCCCCTTTCCATCCTGAGTCTTATTTTGCTAAGAGAAAGCAAGAGTTTAATTTGTCAGAAAGGATCTCTCTTGCAGCTGTTGAATTTTCCCTGCCTGAAGAATGAAGCCCCTCTTTGTGAAGAGATGGGAGGCTCTCGGTAAGGGAAAGAACAGAGGGCACAGAAGGAAGCCCTGCTGTTTTTTCAGAGGGGAAATCTCCCCCAGGGTAGATCTCTAAAGCCACCAAAGATGGAGAGAATTGCCCCTGGTGCTTGCTGCAGGCTGCGTAGTGATGACTCAAGCTACTGCACAACCTCAAAGATATATAAATAGACCTATACTGTACTCATAGGTGGCATTTCTTTTCAATCGGCACATCACACAAGGCACCGTCCTTTTGTCCACTGCTGAGCTCCGTTGACGTGTTAGAGACTGCCCCAGAGCTCAAGTGTTCCATCAGTTTTTCCCCGTTCGCAATTCCCTGAAGAACAGCAAAAAGCATGTCCTTTATATAACACAGCTGCCTGCACACATGAGCTCTGTAAAATCTGCCAATGTTTCCTTTCTGTGCTATAGATGCTGCTAAGTGAGATTGAAAATCTTATTGGCCCGATCCTTTAATTCAGGGATAGATTTGCCATATCCTAAATAATATACGTAACTGTACAGAACTGGCCATCCAGTCAGGAGAATGGGGCAAGTCTACACAGGCAGAAGTTGTACATTAGGGAAGGTAACTATGCTAACCTTTCAACATTATTGTAGGTGTAACCTGGTTGGGTTTTGAATGGTGCAGTTGCTTGGCTTCGGTTACTTGGACTGGAATGATATTGTAAGCGTGTGTGGCACAAGAGGGGTTACTATAGGGCACGACTGAGCCTTGTAGGTATTGCCTTGGAGAGAACAGAAAGGTTTGCACCACTCTCATCCAGAGCCTGCCCTATGGTGTTGTTAATCCTTCATGCTTGAGAGCAGCAAATTCCATCATCAAACAGGGAAACTCAAGAAGAGAAGCTTTAAGTTTCCTTCCAAGTTCCATTTTAGGAAAATTTTGCAGACAGGCATCCCACCATACAGCAAGTGGCCCCAGTTTCATAAGCATTCATTCAGCAGCATCCATGCCAAGCACATAATGTAACAGGCACTCTTTTTCTCCTATACCACCAATGCTGGAATGGAATGAAATTCAAACATTTGCTGGTAAAGCTCACTTCTTATTAATACACCCTTCTGTTCTATGAGAACAATCAGGCTGATTCACTCAACATTTTGTCTGTAACCTTTCAGAATTTAGCTACTTTTAATCCCCTGACTCTTTCTTGGAAAGTACCTATAGGGAAGTAACATTTTATTATTCCAAGAACAATCATTTTCTTTCCAAGAGTTGGTTTTTAAAATATATCTTGTTACAGTTTTAGAAGCAAAAAAAGTGATAAAATTGATTGATTGTGAGGGGTATGGGGCCGTAATTACAGTTAAATCATAAATAGCATGATAGCATTATTTTGCAGCATTGTTGTGTTATAAGAAAATACTTGTCTCCAAATTGCATATTAATATTTGTAGAGATGTGACTGAGAAATCTATTCTCACTTTCCATCTTCTGCTCTCCCTTCCTGAGTGATCCATCTGTTCACCTACTACTGCTAGCCGTTATTGGTAGCCCATTTTTTTAAAAATGCTACATGTTTAGACACAAGCAATGTGTCTTGTAATGGAAATATGGCTGCCAAAACTGTGTTCCTCTGAAGAACAGAAGCAGTGAAAAGGGTACAAGGCACTACTGGTGATGGAAAGGAAAGGGCAGGTACATTTTATGTGCATAAAGCACTTTGCAATTCTTTGTTCGTTTATCCTTTCAGTAAGCCAGTAACATAGATTCTGCAGAGATTGTGACTTGCCCAAGCCCACCCAGTGAGCTTTGTGGTTGGAAAGAGATTACAATCTAGGTTTCTCACATTAAAATTCAATATTGTGTCTACATAACCACATTGCTCTCTTCTTGCCTCTTCAGATGAAATTTGCTCAAATTCAAAGCTGCATGTCTATTTTAAGGACAATTAAATCTTGGTGATTTGACAGTCCTAGAAAAATTATGTTTCTACTCATCAGCAGTTAAGCACTGAATAGATGAACTGTTAGATGCTTAGGTGTTAACATTGGTCAGCTGTTTTTTTTTTAAAAAAGCCATTATCAGTTGTAATTTGTTACTCAGTGTTTAATAGTTTATCAACAACTTTGACAAGCTTATTGTATATTGTAGCCATTGGATTTGTTTACATATTAGAAGGTTTCAAACCCAGGCAATAAATTTTTCCTTATTTTATTAAGCCTGCATATTCAACAGCCAAATTTGAATATATAAGGCATAAAGTAAGTGGATGATTTCTTTCCTTTTGACAAAGGCATATGTGTACATTCTGTTTTCAGATATCATAGCCTTTTCATTCGTTAAGCAATACCACCAATATTTTTCTTACTTTCTGAATGTACCCATATTACCTTCCACCTTTTAAGAATACAGATATTCTACTCCAGACATGTCAAACTCAAAGCCCGGGGGCCGGATGCAGCCCGCGACGTGGTTTCATGCGGCCCGTGAAGCCATCCTGGAAACAGTGAGGGAACGGCCTCTGCTGCCTTGGCCCTGGCCCAGGCCAGCCGGGAGCCAATGTACAATTTTGTGGTGGCCATCTATGCTGAAACGTATTCAGTCTTAGCTCCACAAGGCCATTTGGAAACAGCGAGGAACCAGCCCCTGCCGTGTTGGCTCCACCCCCTGGGCGCACGCTCGGGAGGTATCACCCTTTGTGAAGAATGAAGAAATGCACCATCGCCTGAAAGTGGCCAGCAAATGGCCCTTGCGTACTTCACATATCCGCCTTGATGGGCTCCAGTGGAGGGGTTTCGGCAGGCAGCGGGGTGCTCTCCTCACAGCGCTGAGAGGCGGAGCCAGGCGGTGCAAATCCAAAAAGAAGTGTGCCGCCGCTCAGCCCCCAGCCTGCCCAATTTCACAATGAAGAGCTGGCCATGCCCACCCAGTAGGCCACACCCACTCCAGCCACGCCCACCCAGTAGACTGCGCCCACCCTAGCCACGCCTACCCGGCCCCCCGAGGACAAGCACAATGCTGATGCGGCCCTCAATGAAATTGAGTTTGACACCCCTGCTCTACTCTATGTTACAGTGATGAAAGTTGTACATGCTTTCCTCAGTCCAAAAATGCAAATCTGTATTGAATAAAAAGAAGAGATGTTCAGCCTAGAATGTCAAAGACATCAGATTTTAGAAATTGCAGACTGACATGCAGTCCACTCAATTCTGTCTTAACAAAAAAAAAAACCCTCACAAACCAGCAATTATTTGGACAAAATGTATACTAAAAAGCATATTACAGAAGGTTGCATAAAGAAAGGCATGTAGAAGGGGCAATTGTGGTCAAAATAGCTTTTATTTTTCAAATAAAGGGATATGTAAAGCTGTGTTTTAGGAGAGGAATGGAAAACCTTCCATCCTAATCTAGCTACTTGAAACCCTCCCCCATTTCAAAGTCCCCCCTCCTTTTGATCACAAGTAGTCAATCAAACTCTATCTGAGCTGCATTCTTTGAAGAAAGAAGACTGATGCAGCCAAAGTAGAGTTGGGCCCTCTCAAGAGAGGCAGACATTTGATATCTGCAACTGTTGTAGCTTTGGGAATGATTGATGTGGCTTGCTTGATCACAGAAAATGCTTCTGTTCTGTGTTGGTGTTTGGAAAGAGTTTATAATTCATATATGGACACTCATGAGTGTGGTATACTTTTTAAGAATGTGAGGAGCTCCAGATTCCTACTGTTTCATTCAAGCCTACTCTGCATAATTTTGTGATTCTCCACCTCTGAGTGAATCTTATAAGGAATCTCTTGAAGAATGGGACATTTTGTTGTCTATGTTTATGACTTAGCTCGAAATACACTTTTGGAGAAGAGAGCAAGGTTAGTTTAAGCCTCAATATCTCAGTATCTTTTGCCCTGTGGGGGAAAAATATGCAGTGTATATTAGGCAACATTAGTCTTAGCACCTTTCTTACTACTGTACAATACACCACTGCCGTTTTTTTCCCTTTTGTTGTGGGGGTGTCTTTGGTGTGTACTTCAGCTCTTTGGAATTCAACAGAGTTAGCTATTTTAAGCTTGCTTCTTTTTGACAAGTTTTCTCTCCACCCACCTCTATGTCTCTTTGCCTCCCAGAGGCATTGTTAAGTTGAGGAACACTTTGAAGATGAAAATCATGAGCTGGATGCCAAGCATTAGTTATTACATTAGGCCTCAAGGGCTAAAAACATTGACATTAAAGAGATGTGTTTAATCATAAGGATTTCTTTTCCAGTAGGGGACGATCCTCGTAACTTTCCCCCATCCTTATACAAACATCAATGTTATATAAATCTGTTTCATTTTATTCGTATAGGAATTTAGCCATTGGGATTGGCATTCAGAATTTTCCAGAAGGGTTGGCCGTCAGTCTTCCCTTGCACGGGGCAGGATTTTCAACATGGAGAGCATTCTGGTAAGCAAGTCAAATTGTTACTCAGGTGTCCCTTTGTGTTTTCTTCACTGCTATCTGCTTTAATAGTAGAACAAAAATGCATAAAAATGGCTTTGAGTCATATTATCCCTTTAATGCAAGGAAAATGCTGCTATTTCTGTTGGTAGTGCTCAAACTTTTTATTCAGTGAGACAGTTTTGTGGTCTCTGAAGAGCCTCTTGTGCAAATGGAGTTTTCCTGCCAAATATTTTACAATTTCATCGAAGGCACTGATCCAAGTCATTTACTAAAATGAAGATAAAGGGCAGCTGCAGGTGATGATCTGAACTTCAAAAAAACCCTGATAGCAGTACAATCTCCTCTTTTCTATGATGCTCCATGCAAAAGGAATTACTTTTCTAGTTCATCTCTCCATTGCCTGAACTTGGTAAACAGTACAAATGAGGGAGAATTTGCCATTTTTTTTCATAGCTTTTGCTGCCCACAAATGAAATAAACTGTTGGGTCACACCGGATTTCTCTGCCTTTTATTTACAGTGTTGAAGAAGAGTGAGGCTCTGCTTGCTTATTAGGGCATTTCTTGCTGTCTTGTAGGATGAAAGCATGTTTTATCATGTCTTCATGGATAAGAACAATATATGAGCAATATGAGAAAGTTTTCTTTAGATATGCCATCAATTTTGGGCTTTATTTTTACTGTCAACTGATCCAGACCTGATCAACTCAGGAAATATTTGTGATAAAGTCAGAGAATTGGGCACCCTCCAAATGTTTTGGATTTCATCTATTAGCACCAATCAGCTTGGTCAGTACCAATGAATTGTGGGAGTTATAGTTCAAAACACTCAAAAAATACTCAGTTTTCAACACTGATCATAATGCCCAAATTCTAATGCTTCAATAAGTCTCTGATGAATCTACGTCCGAGAGGGGCTTCCTTCAGAACCCCTCGATGCTTTCCTACATTTTATATAAATCCTGTAATGCTGCTTTATTTTTCCCGGGTTGGTCTGTCATCATATTCATTTCCTAATTTTTGCCCCTTTCCCAGTTTTATCTAACAGAATTGCATTTGAAATTTTGATTTTTTTTTATTCATAAATAAACTTGAATTGTAATAACTGGAACAACCACACATTCTCCAAAGCCCTCAAGTTGCTCTCTCATATATCTGCTGATGTACCTGCATGCTATACTAGTCAGAAACCTTCTGGTGAAGAGAAGGGGCTCAATATCACCAATGTAATGCCGTCTAGATGTGTTAGGCCAATTGCATAAGAATATGCAGAGAAAGTGCGTATAGTCAAGGCCATGGTTTTCCCAGTTGCAATGTATGGATGTGAAAGTTGGACCATAAGAAAGGCTGAGTGACAAAGAATTGAGGCCTTTGAACTATGGTGCTGGAGAAGACGCCTGCGAGTCCCATGGACTGCAAGGCGTTCAAACCGGTCAGTCCTAGAAGAGATCAACCCCGACTGCTCTTTAGAAGGCCAGATCCTAAAATTGAAACTCAAATACTTTGGCCACCTAATGAGAAGGAAGGACTCACTGGAGAAGGGCCTAATGCTGGGAAAGATTGAGGGCAATAGAAGAAGGGGACGACAGAGAATGAGGTGGCTGGATGGAGTCACTGAAGCAGTAGGCGTGAACTTAAATGGACTCCAGAAGATGGTAGAGGACAGGAAGACCTGGAGGAACGTTG